TCAGCTTCCAGCTCCACAGATTGCTCCGCGTACTAAAGTTGTACTACCAAGTCATCAGTTCTCATCTTCCAGCTCGCCAGATACCCCGCGTACTAAAGTCGTACTACAAAGTCGCCAGTGCTCGCCTGCACTTCGCGCGCTCGACGCGCAGGATCTCCGCAGAGGGTTGCGCGGGCACCGGACAAATCGCACTCTCGCCTGCATTTCGCGCACTCGACACGCACGATCTCCGCAGAGGGTTGCGCGCGCGTGGGACAAATCGCACTCTCGCCTGCATTTCGCGCACTCGACGTGCACGATCTCCGCAGAGGGTTGCCCGCGCATGGGACAAATCGCGCTCTCGCCTGCATTTCGCACACTCGACACGCGCGATCTCCGCAGAGGGTTGCGCGTCAAGTCTCCAAAGCGAGCGTTTCGTATGAGACTTCCTCCAAAAGTCAAGCGGAAACACCCATCGGAGCACACGCATCACGCAGCCCTGCCAAGCAGTTTCGCGATTGCAGCCCCTCCAAACAACATCCGCTCACACGCCAATCCCAATGTGACAGCGACATTCACCTCTACCACAACTCACAACCTCACGATTCCTTGCGCCTGCCACGAATCTTTCCCCATCCACACGTCTAACGCGCGCAAAGTACTGCGCCTGCCACGAAATGTCACCTCCCTCACACCTCGCAGCCTCACGATTCCCTGCGCCTGCCACGAGAATCGCACTTCCACGCCTCAAAACCCGCACAAAGTCCTGCGCCTGCCACGAAAAGTGACAATATAATCTCATGTGAGCTTCAACAAAATTTGCACCACACCACACGTTTGGAATGATTTCGACCCGTTCTGAGCACACTGCCATCCACCAAAATCGCCATTTCAGCTGAGACTTGTCACGAAAACCGAGCTTCGCTGCCACACCCTGAAACGCAAATCCCAATGGCACGGCCACATCCAACACCCCAAAAACACGACTCTCCAAACGCTAATCCCAATGGAACTGCGCAGCAAACTGCAGATCTCACAAAACGCTGCGCCTGTGCAGCGAAATGCATCACGTTTCTTGCGCGACATGTCCTTGTCATGCAAATCCCAATGGAATAGCGGCGCAAACTGACACGTGACACATCCATGAAAAGTCACTTGCAAAAGCTTCCCCCAATGGCAGCAAATTTGAGACGCGACGACGACGACACGACGACGACAGACGACGAGAGACGACGACAAACGACGACACGACGCAAGCCATGCAAACACAGCTCCAACCCCCAGACCCCCAACTATAAACGGGAACCCTTCGCTACGCATTCGAGAATAACAAACAGTTTATGTTTGCGAATCTTTCGCGAACTCCATGTTTAACTTTCGCGGGGGGTATATCCTCCAGACATCTTCTTGGTTTAGTGGTTTTACATACAGCCTAACCACTTCCATCTGTTAGTGAGCTAGAAGCCTAAAGACTGCATCGAAAGTGAGGAATCAAGGCTCCTCCTGAGTGAAGGAAGTATGAAGCATACATAGTTCTAACATAGAGTATATAGGATCTTTCGCAGATCTTTCGCGAATAAACCAATTACTTTCGCGAACTCAAGAAAAAACTTGCGCGAACAACTTGAAGAGGCCCTCAGTGACATAGGCCTTATGTCGACCTTTCGGTCGACTACCACATACTATGCGGCTCCAAACATCAGCACCATCCGGGATCATCCAACAATCCTGACGAAACTTCAACATCCCGAGAAACGGCACTGAGACAGACTCTGAAAGCAATCAACCTCACTGATCGACGCTGGATGTCAAATTTCTGCTGCACGCAAACAAGCCCTCTTCTATTCAATTCTCATGGCTCTTGACTGACGGTATGGATTATGGTATCACAACAGTGTGATAAGGAGTATCATCATTCACGATTAAATTACCAGTTAGTAATGCTGGTATTACAACTAATGATTATATTGTCTCCCAAAAGCCTTCTGCTGACTTCTGGGCAACCCGGCCAAAGTGGTGCTCAGGAGAAGCGCCGCATGCCAGATCGCCCAAAATGGGATGCAGGCAGAAATTGAAATTCTTGCTGGACACACTGGATGAGTTTTCGATGTCTGCTTGACGGCTACATTTGGACCCGCACAAACTCTATGTGATCTTGTTCCTCCAGGCCCTTGCCAATGTTGCCTACAAAGCTAGCCCTTGAGGTTTTCTCTGGTGTGAGATCCGAGATGCCTTAAACCAAGGCCGGGAGCAGAAAAATACTACAACAGCCACGAAATTGCCTGACATTGCGATGTCTTGCAACAAGTTTTAACAGTTTCAACCCGTCGCTTGTCACACATGCGTCGATTTCAAGCTTTGTTTTGCTGGCATCCTGCCTGGATAGACAAAACTGTGTGCTGCTTTAAATCTTTTGTCTAGAGCAAACACACATGACAGTCACAGAGCGCCCGCTACAAGGGCCTCCTATACTCAAAAGTTTAAAGTAGAATCAAACAAACACCCTGCACAGGACGGACTGGATTTTCCTCAATCATCAGTGGTGTCACTTGTCGGGACATGCCACATCTGATACGCATCCTCCCAAGACATGTAGAAGGGGTTCTGATATTCCTTCAAAGAGTCCAGCTGGTGGATCCAAGGATGCCCGGCACGTGTAGTTGCCACATGCTCAGAAGCCACATTGTGAGCATGGTGCCACCACTGTGCAATCTCCCACTTGCCCATCTTGGGAAGCCCAAACTGTTCAATGACGCCAACCTCGAAGAAGCTTCGGCAGTCGTTGCACCAGAAGTTTTGGGCCAACAAAGAGGCCAAGGCCTGTGAAGCCAAGCCTTTGCTCTCACCGTTCTTCTCATCTAGGTTGAAGGTGAAAAAGTGCACCACACTCCAAACCTTGTTGGGCTGGGCGGACAGAACACCTGCCTTTCCCAAGAGAATTGCAACCTCGGACCTCTGTTTGTTAGATTCCTTGACGCATTGGATGGAAGCCTGTTCAGGTGTGTAGCCTTGCGAGATCAAGTACTCGAAGGGATCTGGGAGCAGCTTGCTCAACTCTTCAAAAGTGGGAATTGGCTGCTTGAGCACATGCATTGGCCAAAGTGTCGCAGCAATCTTGTAAACCTGCTTGCGCACACGCAGCGCAGCTTGCCCAAGTGCTTTGGTCCGGTCCCAGTAAGTACATGTGCCCATCCAGGCAATCTCACCTGGGAACAGCATGGCCGCACTGATCAGTGCATCCACAGTGACGTTATAGGTCAGTCCGGGCCCTTGACTCTGGTCCTTCATCTTTTTACGAGGACAATCACTTGAGTCCCACCAAGGCCCGTAGTAGCAAATGTCCTGCGGTCGCTTCTGCACACAGGTGCTGGGCAGGACGTTGAACTTGGGTCCTGTGCAAGCAAGATTGGGAGCACAAGCCAATGGTCGCTCCATTGGAAACCCCTGGTCATCGTACTTGTAACGTGGCATCATGTTTCCTGTGAATGTAGGAGCCAAATCTTGCTGCTGAAAGCAGCTCTGCTGCTCCTTCCGATATGGCACACACTGGCCTCTGATGGGCCTCCACGCATTGTCCCCAAAGACTTGCGAACTGCTGGGACAAAGGATATCCCGAGATTTATTGAGTTCTTCCTCTCGACGAATGTTGTTTGCTTGCTGGGCACGGGCCAAAGCCCTGGCGTAGGATTTCATGAACTGGTCACAGTATTCAGTGTCTGGTGTGTGCCCAAAGGTGCCATTCATCAGAGGTCCCATAGCCCAAGCGCCCCACTTCTCATGCTGTCTGATCCAGCACCACTCGTCCTCAGCGCAAATCTCGGGCGACATGTAGCAATCGGCAATCACTGGGACTGGGCACATCACATCATCACAGCTCATCAAGATTTGCTCGCCTTTGGATTTCCTGGTCAGCGTCCCGTTTGGCATCATGTAGATCATGTTAGCACTGGCGATGCTACATCGACCTGGGCCAGCAAAGTACATCTTTTGATCGGCAATCGGCCCACCACAAGGGTAGCTGGGATCTGCCCCTGCCATGCCTGGATTCAAGAGTTCGCGGAATATCTCCAGAGCAGCTGGCGTCATCTTGTTGTAATACTCGTGTGGGCTGCTACTCTTTTGCTCATGTTGAACCTGGATCAGGCAGTTTGGATCTTCGCCAGCTCTGGCGCTTAAAGCAAGTGAGATAGTCAGCATAAGCCGAGCTAGCCCAACAGCCATGCTTTTAGCAAAGGGTGGCCCTCAATCGCACGGAACTAAAACCGCAAAATGCTGCGCCACATATCAAGCATGCGCCGCATGCGCAACAGTCCAAGGACTCTTTTCGAATCTTCTACGTCATGACACCTGCGACCGGTAAAGTGTACAGCCTCAGTGATAGCACATGTCAGTACCCCATCCTGAAAGAATGGAGCAGCACAAGGTCACAGAAATATACAGCAAACATCGTCGTCCTTTTTCCGAGTCACAGTCGAGTCAGCACCACCGTTCCATCCTGGAGTGGCAAGGCAGTTTGATGGGCACTAGATCATTTTAGCACTTTCAGCGCTTCTAGTACTTGGATCTAATTTAGAGTCTC